TTTAAACAAAAATACTATATACGCGTGCAGGAAAAAGCTTTTAAAAGATCACGCTTTTTCATTAATTGATATAAATGCGTCTGACCGGTCAGTGTATATGTACGATAACTGAAGAGAAACAAATGAAGAGAAATACAAGCATGTCACTTCTATGTTCGATCAACTTCTTCTCCTTTGGCTTTTTCTTCTACTATTTGCAAAAATTTCAAATGACATCGAACTACTAAACTCCGAAATACAGCTTGTATAAAATGAATACATTACATTACATTGCATACATTATTACTGAAATATCAAACTTAATTCGGATTTGTAAATACATATTGAAGTTGACTCCCTATCTCTGGATCGGCTATCTTCCAGCAGCTAAAGGGGTGCCAAGCGACGTGGAATGTCACCCTGAACATCTTTCTGCTCGGTTGTTTCATGCTGTTTTAGTTTTGGATCGTTTTGTTTGCCGGGGCTGCACAGCAGGGAGGTTGGAAAGAAGAGTGCATACATTCTCGCTCAAAAGTCTTAGGACAACTGCTATATTTATTAATCGAAATTGGAAAATTCAATTCAAAAAAATTCGTAAAGTATTAATGTATTATGATACATATGAATTGAAAAATTATATTATCTATTGTAAATATCGGTTGTTAAAAATAAAAAAATGTTCTAGGACTTTCGAGCGAAAGAGTACATAGTTTTGAAAAAATTTGTTTGAATGATTGAGAAGGTTGAACAGAAGGGCTAGAATGTGAATAATTGTTTGGCGAAATTGCTTCGGGTTTTTCGAAAATCTGCTGATTATTATAAAGTGTAAGTGTAAAGGATTGTTGATAGATTCGTTGAATTTGATGTACTTATTTGAAAGATATTAAAAGTTTTTACTGTAGAAATATTTGTAAAGTAAAACAGATAATAGATTGTAATAACTTCAAATACTGGCTAATAATCAATAGTCAGTTACTTAAATTTAAAAACGAATTATTAAGAACTTATTTCGTAATTTTATTTATCGTGTTTTGAACTTATAAGTCCAAGCTTATCATACTATATCCGATTATTAATTCAAGTCGTTAACTAGAACTATAACTAGATTATACACGAATTCAACGAAGGAGAAATAAGTTTACTCCAAAATGTAAATGAGCAGAAATAATTCAATCGCAATTTCAGTGAGACAGTAGAATTGTTTCAACGTGATAAAACGTCGGTAACAATAGAGACGGAAACCGTAGACACTCATGCAATGCAACTTCCGGACATTGGACGACGTTCAAGTGGATAGCACTCGTTCCTGGTAAAAGCGCATTGGCTACCGTCTATTTATCTAGGTCTCTGATAATCGAGTTATCGTTGCTTTCTTTTCATTCGATTCAATCGACACGAAGAGATATCTGTGACACTTTCGAGGGATCGGCTACGTTTCAAGTGCAATTTATTAGAGAAACTCTCTCGTGTATAACGTTCCGACGATTTCACCCTATCGACGGAATCTCCCGTGTTTATCTTTTAAGCACAGACTTTACATTATTTTACCATTTTTGTCATTTTTTACTCGGTGACATTTAATAATAATTTCTTTATTTATTAATAATTTTCACTTTATCTTACTGCCACATACGAATTTCATTCGTAAGAATTGCACGAATAATAAAACAATTTGACAATTGAATAACTATAACTATTATACTGCTATGCAAGCTATTCCTTTCATTATTAACTATAAATTGTTAATCTTTAATTTAACTTCTTTTCTGTATCTAACACAGTTTCGTAAATACTTTAAGTCATCACGCTTAAGATATCTTCGAGGGGATGTTTTCAGTCTTAGGACCGTTTTTCACTTGGAAAAAGAAATTGTTTCGTATGAACTAAATTCGCGCAAAATTCCAAATTTTCTTGTTAGATATAAAATAGAATTTTTTACCACTAACTATTTTATTGTTATGTATATTGTTATCATTATGAACACTGCCAAATTAATTGCAATCAATTATTCTTGCTTATATAAACTTCTAAATAATTACACATATATAACAATAACTACTACATCTCTAGAGATTAGAACTGAACTCCGCAAAATCTTCAAACTACAAATGAAAGAATAATCCGAATAACGACACGGTGTGCAGAAGAAAATGGCGTGAAGGGAAAACGGTCGCAAGTTTAGAAAAAGGCGAGAACACGACGGAAAAGGGGGCTACGCTGAATGTCGAGTTTTCAATCTGCCATTCTATCATTGACAATTTCGCGCAAATGGGATCGCGGTGCAAGGGCGTTGAAGCGTGCTCTCGGCGCACATTGGCGTTAAATAAGAGTAACCCAGCGAGCACGCCGCCACGGCATAATTGCCTGTGAAATCACTAGATGGAT